GCATATGAAGATGCTTACAAGGTAGAGTTGAAGGCATACCAAGAAGAGATGAAGAGAATTAATGAAGCACTAACTCCAGCTCAGAGAGCATCTTTGGCAGAAAATAAAATACAGAAACGTTTAAAAAGGAAAGAAGTAATAAGAAAGAAAGTACGTATCAATGAAACATTGCGTTCCTATCACAAAGAATTGAAGTTCACATAACTTTGGCCATATGTGGCTTTCCCTTATTTTGATGATAATATATAAAATGTCATAGTGGAATGTCATCAGCAGTGCTCTAGGCAGGTGAAAGTGGGAGAATTCTTTTGCCACTGTGGTACTTGTCATTGAGTTGGTCTTGGAAATCCTCCATGCTGCTGTCACATGCATCCAGATTTGAGATAGGATGGGTGTGGAAGTTGCAGAAATACTTACAAAATAGCCAGACCGGGAGCAGTGAGCATTGTTGCTTCTGAGCCTTGACTAGAAGTCTGCTCATTGAAATTGTTCTGTAGATAATGGGAAATTTGTTACTGCACACTGCTAAGTAGACGGGATTTGTTCATTAATATGTCATAGAGAGTGCCAACTTAAGTCAGATATCATTGGGATAGAACTTAAAATTTTTTAAAGAGTTTATTGGTACATGATTATGGTGCATAATTTCTTGGGTGGAGTTGGTACATGTACATAATACATCTTCATTTTTTTATTATTCCCTCTCCATACCCAACTACTTTTTCTATCTCTTGATGCCTATCCCTTTAGTAAAAGCTCTTTTTCCCTTTATCTTGTTATTTATCTTTTATTTTGCTCTTTATTTGTACATTTGTTCTCTGATATAAGAGAAACCATATAATACCTTTCTAGGGCTGACTTATTTCACTTAACATTAGGGTCTCAAGATGGATCCATTTTCCTACAAATGACTCATTTATTTATTTTTTTATTTATTTGCGGAACCAGGGATTGAACTCAGGTCCTTTCACTTGCCAGGCAAGTGCTTATTCCACTGAGCTATACCCCCAGCGCCTCAAATTTATTTTTTTATGGGAGAGTAGTACTACATTGTGTATAAATATCACATTTAAAAAATGTTGTTGATGGACACCTAGACCACTTCCAAGATTTAGCTGTTAAAGGTTGTGCTGCTGTAATGGGTGTGCGTGGATCCCTGTGCCATGAGGTCTTTTAGCTCTTTCAGGAAGATATCTAGAAGGGGAGTAGCTGGGTCAAATGAAATTTGGGTCTTTATCTTTGAGGGACTCCTTATGCTTCTATTAGTACACTTCCACCAACAATATAGAAGGTGCTTTATTTCCCCACATCCTTGCCGGCATTTGTTACTTGATTTTTTGATGGTAGCCATTCTTTCTAGAGTAAGGTAGAATCACAGTGTTACTTTAATTTGCATTTCTCTAGTAGCCAGCAACGTTGAATATTTTCGTACATATTGGCAATTTGAACTTCTGAGAAGTTTCTGTTAATTTCAGTTGCCCGTTTTTTGCTTGTTTCTTTTCTTTGGGAGGGTCTAATTTTCTTGAGTTCTTTATCCTAGATACTCGTCCTTCATCCAAGGAATAGATGGCAGACATATTCTCCTGTTCTGTAGGCTGTCTGTGCACTCTGTTGTTCCTTTGCTATACAGAAACTTTTAAGTGATGTGATCCCATTTGTTCTTGGTTATTTCTTGTGTAATTGGAATTTTGTTCAGAAAGTCCTTGCTATGCCTATGCCTTCAAGAGTTCTACCTATTTTATCTTGTAGATTGTTTCTGTTTTAACATCTAGATCTTTGACCTATTTTGATTTTAGTTTAGTATGTGGTGAGAAATGTAGGTCTACAATTTTCAGCGTGTGAATGAATGCCAGTTTTCCTAGCACCTTTCGTCAGAGGCTGTTTCCTCTAGCATATGTTTTTGGCCCTCTTTTCAAAGATCACACATGTACCTGGAGTTGTTCCTGCATCCTCTACTGTGTTACGGTAACCCGCGTGTCTATTTCCATGCCACTGTCATGCTGTCTTTATCACTGTAACTTTGTAGTAGAGTATGTCTTCGATCTGGAATTGTGATGCTTCTTGCTTTGCTCTTCGTGCCAGGATTGCTTTTGCTATTCTGGATCTCTTTTGATATCATGGGAATTTTAGGATTATTTTCTCTATTTCTATAAGGGATGCTATTTGTAATTTTATTGTATTTTATTTGTATTTTTATTGGATTAAATCTGTATCAGTTTTGGAAGTGTGATGATTTTGACATCACTGGTTCTGCCTATCCAGGAACAGGGATTATCTTCCCCTTTTCATATGACTTCTTTCATATGTTTTCAGACTGCTGTATTTTTTTTATTGTGGAGGTCTTTTGCTTCTTTAAGTTAATTCATAAGTGCTATTGTGAATGGTATTGTTTTCTTGATTTCTGAGTTCGTTATTGATATACAGGAGTGCTGTTGATTTTTGTGTGTTGGTTTTGTATCCTGCTACACTAAATTTGGTTATTCTAGGAGTTTTAAGTGATTTTTTTTTTTTTTTTTTTTTCTCCGAATGCCTTCAGGGCAGGTTTAGCAGGCTGGAGTGTTGTGGGGATCGAACTACAGCAACCTGAGGCTGCCAACTTTGTGGAAGCAGCCACTTAAAGAACTGAGCTAGGGCCAGGCCCCCCAAGTGAAATTTTATAGGTCTTCTTTGTAGAGGATCTTGTCATCTGCAGATCTGTTCTTTTTGTACACTGCATTTTATTTTTTTCTCTTTCCTGATTGTCCTGACCGGTGTTTTGAGTACTGTATTAAGCAGGAGTGGTGATAGTGGACATCCTTGTCTTGTCCCTGACTTTAGATGGACACTTTCAGCTCTTCTCCATCTAACACTCCTGTCAGTGTGAGCCACCAGCAGTACATGCGTGACTATTTTGTCAGGCAGCTTGAGACTGCAGGGCTTAGCTATTCAACATCAAATGTTGAAATTCGAATCACACCCACCCAGGTGTAAGACACATGCATAGCCCAGTTGTGAATGTGTTCATATGGTATTGGCCTTCAGTTTGTCATAAAAGACTTCTGTCAGGTTGAGATAAGGTCCTCCTATATATATTTTTTTCTTTGGGATATTTTTTGAAATGGTGTCTTGCTATGTAGCGCAAGCTGTCCTTCAACTCACTTACATAGCCCAGGTTGGCCTCTAACTCATGAAGATCTTCCTGCCTCAGCATCTTGAGTACTGGAATTATGGTTGTGTCATACCTGGTTTCTTCAGGATTTTTATCAAGAATATATGGTAGATTTTGTTAAAAGACTTTTTTGTACCTATATGATCATGTGATTTTTGTTGTTCTTGCTTTTCTTTGTGTGATGTTATTTTTATTGGTTTGTATACGTTTAACCATCTGTTTGTTCCTGGGGTAAAGCCTGCTCAGTCATAATACTATCTTTTTGATGATTTGGTGCATTCTGTTTGCCATATCTTGTTGAAGATTTTTGTGTCCATGTTTATTAAAAGAGACTGGCCTGCATTATTTTTTGCTAATGGTGCTTCCAGGAATGACTTTGGGAGTACACCTTTCCTTTTAATTTCATTAAAGAATTTGCGGAATATTGGTGTTAGATCTTTCCTAAAATACAACTCAGTAGTAAATCTTTCAGACTCTTTACTTTTATTTTTTATTTAATTAATTTATTTATTTGGCACAGGGTCTTGCTATGCAGCTTGGTCTCATATTGATCATCCTGTCTCAGCTTCCCTAGTGCTGGGATTACAAGCATGCGCCACCATGCTAGTTACGGCAGCCTGCACAGCATGCCTGGGGATGGGCTGGCACGGTGTGCAGTAATGGCGATCAAAGCTTGGGTCCTTGCACTTGCCAGGCAGGCTCTTAGACCACTGAGCTATCTCCCCAGTGCCCAGAATATGGATTCTTAAAGTAGTTCTTAGTAATCTTTGGATTTCATTTGTCCATTGTGATTTTTGTCTTTTTCATTTTGGATTGGATCGGATCAGATCGAATCTTTTTTTATAATATTGGCTAAAGATTTATTTAGAGAATCAACTCTGATTCGTTGATTCTTTGGTTTTTGGGTTTTTTTGGTCTCAATCTCATTAATTTCTGCTATGGTCTTTATAGCTCTTTTTCTTTGTAATACGTTTGGATTTGTATTGTTCTTTGAAGTGTATCATTAGGTTTTTTATTAAGGCTCATTTTCTTTCTGATGTGGGCATTCACAGCTATAAAATTTTCTCTTAAGATGGTTTTTATTGTGTCCCATATGCTTGGTATGTTGCATTGGCATTTTTTGTCTAATTTTCTTGATTTCTTCTGTGACACATTGATTATTCAAGAGTATTATTTAATGCCCATAATTTCTGTGGTTTGCCATTTATTTGTATTTTTATTGCACTACAATCTGATAGTATTTATGGTATTGTTCTTGTTCTTTTGCATTTACTTCAGTACGCTGTATAGACAAGCATGTGGTCTATTTTGAAAAGATTCCATTTTCTACTGAGGATGTATATTCTGTTGTTAGATGGAACACTCTATAGATACCTGTTAAATCCATGTGTTCAAAGGTATGGTTCAACTCTGATATTTCTTTTTTCTTTTTTGTCTAGTTGATCTATCTGTGACAGTGTGGTTTGAGGTCCCATTGCAATTGTGTTGTTTATCTGACCTTTATGTCCAGTAATATTAGTTTTATGAATTTGAGTGCACCAGTGTCCTGCCCTTAACTATAGAAAAGAGATCTGTTATTATTGTGCAAACACTAGGAGGGCCATTCTCCCCGGGCTGTGGCAGCAGTCCATGCCGAGCCATGTCTTTGCTCCACTGGTAGATTGGGAAAGCAGCTGGACCTCTTACCTGTGCCAGGTGTAACAGCAAAGCGAATCCATCTGTTGGACTTAACACCAGCACTCTCAGACCCAGCCACCTCTGAAAGCTACACCAGCCAGGCCTGGCTTCTCTCCACAGAGGGCCCTGTGTCCTTCCTACCTTGAGTGCACCTTGTCGGGGAGTCAAGTGTCTGGCCTGCTGCTTGTCCTCAGCGTTCTCTCACCCAGAGGGCGACACTAAGAACTCTGTAGTGAGCTTGCTTGTGGTTTTTCTGTGGTTCAGTCTTAAATAGACTCCTTCCTAAAATAGTGCCAATTAGTAAACACTGTTAGCAGTGTGGCAGGGGCTGCCTTGGATTCCTTCTCTACCTGGAGTCTGCAGTGTGGAAGGAATCACTTTTAGAACAGAACACCGTGCTGTTGTGGAAGTTTATAGTAGTTGACTTTTCTTGGGCCTACCCCATGTGGCTGAGTTGTTTCTCCTTGGAGCTTCCAATGCTGGGACCTTATTTTGTCTCCACAGAGAAAGGTTTCTCCTCTTAGGAGCTAGAGTAAGCGTCTAGTCTGCTTTGTTCTTTTCTCCGTGTTTTGCTCCATTCCTCTAGCCCCTGGAGTTGCCAGGTTTTCCTATCGATTCCTTTAATTTTTTTTTTTTTTTTTTTTTTTTCTTCTTTTTTTCTTTTAATTTTTTTTTTTTTTTTTTTTTCAGAACCGGGAATTGAACTCAGACCCTTGCACTTGCCAGGCAAGCACTTATTCTACTGAGCCATCTCCCGGGCCCTTCAGGTTCCTTTATATTCTAAAAATCTGCTGCTTTTTCCCCCCTCTGGCAAGTTGTTAAAGCTCTGGGGTCTGGAGTCCAGATCCAGGAAAGGCTATGTATATTTTGCTGCTGATTTATACTCCACCATTTAGGTCTCTAAAATATGATTCTGTTTTTCCTTAGAGAAATAACTGCTTAAAATCCCACATGGTTCAAAATTTGTAGTTCTCAGCTTGAAGTATAAATTCACTTCAAGGTCATTGTTTGAAAGTTAGACTGTAGACTGTGTATTTTCGAGCCACTGCTGTGCATAAGTTGGTGAACTTGTTGGTCTAGTACTTACACTATTCAGAAGGGGTTTTTTGTTTGTTTGTTTGTTTGTTTGTTTGTTTGTTTTTACTCTGAATGCCTTCGAACCACAGCAACCTGAGCCTGACTGCTTTGTTGAAGCAGCCACTTAAAGAACTGAGCTAAGGGGCAGGCCCCCATTTACACTATTCAGAAATGGTCTTCAGAATTAAAACTAGTTCTCTGACAAAAATAGATTCTGCCCTTGCATGTGAGAAGCCAGAGCATTTTTCCCCACCCTTATTTTCAGCTGTCCTGGTACCAGGTTGGTGCAAGTTGGTGATGATCTCAGTGCTTGTCCAGTTAATTAAAGGAACCGGAAGGGATACCAGAATGAGAAGTAAGGCATCTGTGTAGAGATACTGGGACAGGTGATTACTAAGGCGATATCCCCCTCAGACCCCTTCCTCCTCAAAGCACTCCTTCTATGATGAAGAGGAATAGGGTCAGAAGTGAGGCCTGGGCAGATAAAAAGGGTTTGCCTTTCTACCCTCACTTGCTAGTGGACTCATTTTTCAGATTAAGGATTGTGTATTTAGGACAGGATCTATAGGGTCTCACTACATAGATTGGACTCCCAGCAATTCTTCTGTTTTCAGGCTCCCAAGCACTGGGATTACAGGCATGTACCACCACGCCCAGTCTCTAGCGCAGTCTCAGCATGGTGGGGATTAAACCCCAGCCCCTACACTCTGCCTAAGCAGGCACTTTGATCTGCTGAGCTATCTGGCTAGCCTTCATATTAAGCCCCCACCACCACCACCACTGGGGCTTGAACTCAGATTAAGGATTCTTAATGCATCAAGTTTAGAGAGCAGAGCCAAGCGTGAGGATCAAGAGTTGTTAGTGAAGAAAAGATAAATGCCTGAGTAAGCAAAATCCCCAACAGTGGCCCCAGAAGCAATAGGCAAAAGTATTTAAGTTTGATTAAGAAGTTAAAGTGCCAGAGTCTGCAGTATTTTCAGTTGTAAGTGTATGAGAAATGTATCTACATGTGAATCAGAAGATCTCTGCCTTTACTATGAGTAAAAGATTCTTTATTGATTATAAGCAAATTACCACGAACCACAGAATTTTTTTTTACGTTATTTTTATTTTTTTTGACATCAGTTATTTTATTTTAAAGAAAAAAAAATAAAAACTGGTACAAAACCTAAAAACAAGATTTTAGGAGAGTAACAATGGTTAGTACATTGTGTATTGTTACTGCCAAAGTAGTTTCTCATATTACAAGATATAGACCAGAAATAATAAATAAACAACATAGGTAC